ATATATATATATATATATATGTATCCTTGTCATTGGAACCTCATTTCGCATGTACGTGCATGGGTAGTGGCGTCAGGAAATCCGGCCACAGATCGAAGCGACGGCCAAAGCTGACGAGGAAAGCAGAAACCCCGAAACTCCCAAACCCCAAAACCCCTGACGCCGCCGCCGTTTCGAAATAGGAATAATAAATGGAGATTTTGACCAATGATATTTGTTCATTCCAAACTATTTGAACCAATCACATGGCGGCAACAAAACCACTTTTTGTTCCTCTGGACCGCACTCCGACATCTCGCCCCATATCATGGCACATCAAGGTACTCGTTGGAGTTGGCTCGATGCAGTCTCGTCTCTCATTGACATGGAGTAGTCCCCTTCCACAACCCCAACGCGCCATACCAGCCGCACCCCCAACAACGTCAACGTCCAGCATTCTCGCAGCAACCGCAGCAACAAGCGGCCGCCGATGGCTTCTACTCTTCTGGTCCGCCAGTGGGAGGAGCTCCTGCGTACGGTGATCAGCCGGTATTGCTCATATTGCATCATACATTCATGTTCTCGACGACTGAGTGGACGACCATACAGGCATATCACCAAAGCGGCCAACCGCTTGCACCGGTGCAGCCGCAACCGCAGTATGGTGGAGCATCTCCTTCCCATCCTACCTACCCCGACGGCATGATGGGTGCAAGCAATCACCCATCAAGCAACAACAGCATGGGTGGTTTCTTTGGCGAGATGGGCCAAGCCGTGAACCCCGAGCTCATGAAGTACACGAGTCCACCCCACCCAGTTTGCTCATCACGTGCCTTGTAGCAATCCGATGGCAGCGTACGCAATGAATCACGGCGCCAAGATGATGGAAGACCAAGTCAAGTCGTTCATGCCTGGTACACTCTCTTCCCTTCATCATTGCCGTCACCACATCGTTTTTTCCCCTTGTAGGCGCGGCGGCTGGGGCGTTGAACATGTTTGGATCGGTCAAGTATTACTTTACAGTCAACAACACGTATGTCGTGCACCGGCTCAAGGTACACTTCGACCTTCGTCAAGACACTTGTGTGTGAGAATAGATGTGTAGATGCTGTTGTGTCCATTCATCCACAAAGATTGGCGGCGCATCGTGCAAAACGAAGGCAACAACACCGGCGTCGACGTACGTCCATTCATTTCAGAGTGATGGTTATTAAAAGAATGTGTGTAGGTCGTGTACGCGCCGCCGTCGATGGACAAGAACGCGCCGGATTTGTACATCCCGTTGATGAGTTTTGTCACGTACATTTTGATTGTGGGGTACATCAAGGGCGCGTCTGGACGGTAACATAATACTCGATAGATATTTGCTCGTGTTATGTAGAGTTTATATATATATATATGGAACTTTGATAGGTTCAACCCGGATGTGATTACCGAAGTGTCGACGTACTGCTGCTTGATGCAACTGGTGGAAATCTGCCTCATGAAGCTTGGGTTGTATCTGCTCAACAGCCAAATTAACTGGTTGGACTTGGTGTCGTTCACGGGCTACAAATACGTGGCACTTGTGATCAACACGGTGGTGCACTTGATCTTGGGCTACATTCCGTACTACGTGGTGTTGGCGTACACTGGCATTGCCACATCCTTCTTCACGGTAAAAGCTAATATGTTGTGTATGAGGTGTAGTACTGACTCATATGGATATAGTTGAATGGGCTCAAGGGCACGGTGCCAGAACCCAACCACGACCAGCGCCGCTTTCGAAACTACATGCTGCTGGCGTACGTCTCTCGCTTTGATTTTTGGTTGTTCGGAGGGGATGTTGATATTATTGTGTATTCGCTCGGACATAGGATGGCGGTGTTGCAATTGCTGCTCATTTGGTGGAACTCGTACAGCAGCGAGATCCAATAAATAGTTGACCGTCGTATATATATATATATATATATATAATATATATATATATATACATGACCTTTTCCACGACGATATACATAGCTGGCAATAATTCGCATTTCGCTGGGATGCCACATAAACGACACGGTGATCTTCGAAATGGGCAAAGCTAGATATATTCTAAACACTGTATACTATAGTGAATGCAAGCTTAGAATTTGAAGGAATGCATGTTGAGTTCACACACACTCCGCACTCACATACACTCTCAATACCACTCTCCTAATACAGGTTCGACAAAACTACGGATTTGCCATTTTCATATCCAACGCGGCATGTCAACTCCTGCGCCTTCCGTGTGCCCCGACTGCCAAAAGCACCTGGGTGCTTGGTTCAATCGTGGCACCGCCTGCGCACTCTGCTCCCGCGTGTGCTGCGCGACATGTCTCGATTTTGCCCTGTACACGGACCCGACTACGATCTCGTCCATGTGCAAGGCATGCTTTACTTCGAAATGGGCGCTGGACATGACCCAACACGTCGAGGTGTTTGGTCCGTCCATCCAAGAGAGCGCCGGACCCGCGGTGGTGCTTGTGCACGGGGGCGGCGGGTGTCGCAGCATGTTCATTCCGCACGCGAAGTCACTCGCGGCGGTCAACGTGCGCTGCGTGTTGGTGGACTTGCCTGGCCACGGCAGTCGCATGGACGAGCTGCTGACGCTGGATTCTGCCATCGCGGTGATCTTGGAAGGCGCGGCGCTAGCCGGCACGTGGCGGGGTGACGTCGCGCCAGTGTATGTCGGTGGATCCCTCGGTGGCTACATTGGCATGGAGTTATTGGGGCAGCACCCAACAATGTTCTCCAAGGCCGTGATCCTCATGTGCGGTCAAAACGTCGGCGTGAACCGTGGGTGGGCGGCTGGGCTGGGGCTGATTGTGCTGGATTGGGTGTCTTCGACTTTCAGCGCGGCCACACTGCTCAAACTCATGCACGACCAAGTGCAAGCCAACGGCCACTTGGATCGTGACATGATTGAGAACGACATCAAGAAATGCGGGTTCTTCTTTCACCAGTCCAAGGCCCAGATTGCCATTCTCAAAGCCACGAATCCAGCGGAAGCCCTCAAGAAGTACCGTGGTCCAGTGCTGTTTATCAACGGCTCCAAGGATCACCGCGACTCGGACGCAGTCTGGCTCGCCGCTGCCTCCGCCCCCGCCTCAAAGTTGATCGTGTACGACGGCGCCGATCATTTCTTCTCCCACGACACGCGATATTTGCCCCAATTCCTCGACGAGCTCCATGCGTTTGTCCTCCCGACCCCCCCGCTTGATTAATCGAAACGGATTTCAATGGTTTACATGCTACGTTGGGGTGTCAGTGGTCGAGGTGCTTAGTGTGACAAAGTATGAAGGGTCGCCTGCTGTGTAAATGGTAGGTTATACATACTGTATTCACCCAAATTTGCACATTTTGGGGGATCATGCTTCACATGTAACGGCGAAATGGACTAGTTTTGCTATGATCGCGTGGTAGTCAGAACACCACGAATGTCAGCAGCTCAGCAGTATTGTACCGGTCATAAACTTGCTTAAATATATAGTCTTAGCACTGATCTTCGCAGCATCCGTTGTCGTCGTTTGACTGGGGCCCCCCCATATCCACTAGCGCCTTGGTTGCCTCGTACACGTCCCCTCGCTCGCCAGTCGATTCAGGTTGCTTGTCATCACCTCTAGTTGGCTGGTCCGCCTCTAGCGCCGCCAGCAGCGCCTTGGCTGTGACAGTGGACACGACCAAGGGCAAATTGCCCTTCGCTTGACAAGACTGCGATCGAGTGGTGAGCCAGCCATACACCGTGTGCGTGTTCCCCGTGACATCCACAGGACACTTGCGCGTCGTGATGTCGGCCAACGCCAACGGCGCGGAGGACGGAGGAAGCGGCAAGTTGTCGGCACGACACAAGTCGTTGACTGTCATGGACGGTACCACCATGCGCTGGTTGGCTACGATGAAGGCCCGAATGTCTCGCTCGGCGTCCACGGCTTCCATGACGGTTGCCAGCATCTGCCAATCGTACTACACATGTAGATATACCAGGGATGTTCAAAGCAAATACCTTCACGACGACCACAAGGGGCAGTGAAACTAGTAAACGAGTGTATTACCTGCGAGTTGGCGAGGGCAGACGATTCAAAGATGACATGTTTGCGCAGACTTGCCGTGAGATTCGAAATGCTGTATTCGGCCATATGCTACATAGCAACCATGATTAAGTAGTACTCAATGAACGTCCAAGTACTCAATGGATCCAACGTACTTGGTAATCGTTTAAGATGGACTGGATGGACCGGAATAGTGCAACCCGTGCGTCTTCAAACCCATTCCACGCCACGCGGCACTCGTGGCGCGACGTTTCGGCCGTCTAGAACGATGGTCAGTGATCAACATCATCCAAATAGGTAGGTGTACCTCGATGGCTTTCACGGATGTGATGAGCAAGTTGTCTTTCTTTTGCTGACCACTGGGCAATAGCCAGCTCACGAGCTTGGTACCGTCTAGCGTAGACCGACTCATCGAGGTGCTCCGAGGCCGAGATGTGTTGCCGGTACCATCCGACACGGTAATGTGGGGGGAAGAAGGAGGGGGTGGTTTAGCAGGAGTGCCGATCGTAGTGATCAATTCGGGTGAGTGCTGGGGACTGCTAACGGCATCACTTGTAGCTGCTGGGTCCAGAGAATGGGTAGGTGGCGGAGTGGTTCGCTTGTCAGGATGGTGCTTTTCATGTGGGCGGAGGTGCACTGGCGAGGCCAGGTATTGGTTGTGGATGATTTCCCGGGCGATGCCGACGTCCATGGCCTGGGCATATGTAGTCGACGCGTCTTTGAAGTGTTTGTCGAACTTGATATGTTGTTTGCGGTAGTGTTCTTCGAAGGCCTTCGTTTGCTTGCGCACCCGCGTCGTGCACACCGTCAACTTGGATTCCTTCTTGACCAAGTACTTGTACAACGTATGCATGGGCTGATACACGTCTTCGTCCAGATTCGCCGCCAGGGCTTTGTGCTGCACGCTTGTGTTTGTGTACTGCGCCCTCAAGCCCCGCAACGCTTCTTTGAGGGTGCTCGATCGCGAAGTTCTGTCGTTTCCGCCGTCGCCGTCATCGTCGTCTGCACCGCGCTTGCCATCTATTGCACCAAGTTCCGCGCCGACAGGGTCGTTGCTGTCATCCTCGTCGTCAATCTTGAACTGGTCGGCTAGACGCGCTAATTCCGTCGCGTAGTAGTGTTCGAGCTGCATGCGACCTTTCAACATGCTCAAGCATGCATTGTGTGTGGCAAGATCGGCGGTGCAATGCTTCCGCACAGCGTCTAGGTTGAAGAGGAGGTCCGTCGGGAAGCTCAGCCCCGGAATTGTCGTGCGCGCTACCTCCATGCCAGCAATTCGCACAACCGTCACAATTTGGTCAAGTCTGAAACGACACAACGGCAATTCTGTACCTTCGAACTTCGTCCAAGTACCAAACTTCGAATTGGTTTACAAAGGTATTGCTGTGTCGTATGAATTAATAAAGGTTTTCGGGTTTTGGCGCTGCAAGTTCGAATCATGTCCAAGCGGAAAAAGCCCGCTGCCAGTCCGACGGACGCGTTGCCAACAGCTAGCGCGGAGGCCTCTGCTCCTTGGATCCAACGCTTCCAGCTCTTGGATAGCTGCTACTGTTTCCTCGTGGGCAAGAAAGCCATCCCGTCGCTGAAGACCATCGTCAGTCTCGCGGCGCATTTGTCCGGCAACCCATCGAGTCTCGAGGTGTCCCATGTTCGGCAAATGGTCTCCATCGGGGTGGTGAAATTGGACATTCAAGCACGAGACAAGGTCATTGTGCAAGGTATGGTCGCCTCATGGATGATCCTTAGGAACACGTAGCTCACCACAAGAACCAATGCTCGTGAATACTGTAGACGACTTCAACCCGGCAGCTGTCGACCCACACGAGACCATCGAGTTGGTGCAGTTCCCTGACGCCCCGCACCCGAGTAAGCGAGCCAGCACAAAGCGGATGCTTCTATTTCAGCACGCCCTCCAGACGACCACCATTGACTTGGCCAACGTGCCCAAGTTCGAGCCACTCAAGCGGTTGAAATCGACCTCGTCGCAGCCTTCGGCGTCCTCTCCTATTCCGTACTTGAACACTCTCATGCAAGCCAGCTACTACGACGGACAGGTGGTGCACATTGAAACGATTCCGTCACGCGCTGCTCGGTTTGGAGACCGACAGCTCCAAGACCTGGGCGTGTGCGACACCGTGTGCCGCAGCGTCCTCTTCGAAAAGATCTATTCGCACCAATCAGAAGCCATCCAAGCGATCTTGGAAGGCCACCACGTGGTCATCTCCACGTCCACATCGAGCGGCAAATCCATGGTGTACAACGTGCCTGTCGCCCACGCCTTGTCAACTTCGAATTCCACGGCGTTCTACCTCTTTCCTACCAAGGTGTGTACATTATTTCAATCAGCATTTCTTGTGTCGTGTTGCAATATATATATATATATATATTTACGATATGTTTGATGTTTTTTAACGCCAAGTTGCATCAATTAGGCGCTAGCACAAGACCAAGTGCAGTCGTTTCGGACGTTCCTTACCCGCTGCGATGGTTTGGACGCGTCTCTTTGTGCTACTTATGTACGCGTTGACTATCCTGATATATATATATAATAAAAGGCAATGTGGTCGAAAAGACGCTTGCTTGTACTACTGCCCTATAGTACATACTACTAGTACTAGCTAGTAATTAATAACATAATGGGGTTTTTTACAACTAGGACGGAGATACACCGATGGCGGCGCGCGCCGGACTACGGAAGTCCGCGCGAGTCTTCTTTACAAACCCAGACATGCTGCATGTATCTATCCTGCCCCAGCATAAAGCATGGAGAACAGTGCTGTCCCGGCTCAAGTACGTACGAACTGCTGCCGTCATCATCGATTTCTCATTCTCAAGAGTAATTGAACCACATGGCGGCGCTGTAGGCTTGTCGTGATTGACGAAGCCCACATGTACCGAGGTATCTTTGGGTCCCACGTCGCAAATATCCTCCGGCGACTCTTTCGACTATGCTATGTCTACGGCAGCTCACCGCAAGTCGTGTGCTGTTCCGCGTCTATTCAAAACCCCCGCCAGCATTTTAGCTGGCTCGTGCCTCACCAGTCGTTGCAACCTGCTGCTAGGACTCCCGACGATGATCCTTCCCCCAACACCAACGCTAGTCCAGAGGTCACTGTGATTGAACAAGACAAGGACGGAAGCCCTTGCGGCACCAAACACTTTGTCGTGTGGCGCCCGACGCCACCCCCTGTGACATCGTTCGACCCGAACGAACCCCACAACCCCGACCTCACGGGCAGCACGATCTTCCAGAGCGCGCAGATCCTCGCCACGCTCGTCGCCGCCAAAGTGCCCACAATTGCGTTTTGCAGGGTATGTATGCAACATCACACTGCACTTTCAAGACCAAACTGCACTGGCCACTACTCGACACAACTCTTTATATATATATATATATATGTAGGGCCGCAAGCTGACCGAGTTGGTGGTCGAGTACACGCACAACATCCTGCGTCGTCAAAACCAAAGCCATTTGATTCCGCGGGTCAAGGGGTACCGCGGCGGGTACTCTGTCGAAAGCCGCCGGGCGATTGAAGCGCAGCTGTTTCGCCACGAGTTACTAGGCGTGGTTGCGACCAACGCGTTGGAATTGGGTATTGACATTGGGTCGTTGGAATGTACGCTGCATCTCGGGTACCCCCCGTCGATAGCGTCCATGTGGCAGCAGGCCGGGCGCGCCGGCCGCAGTGGCCACGTATGCGCTCGTTGCTAGTATGTTGTAGTAGTACTAGTTGACACTATCAAGTAGGACTCGATGGCGGTGATCGTATGCTTTGACTCGCCGTTGGACGCGTACAACACTGCATTGGGGTCGGCGATGTTTGCCAAACCGCCAGAACCAGTCGTGCTGGACCCGACCAACTTGTTCGTTGTCAAGCAGCATCTCCAGTGCGCATCGTTGGAGATGGACCTGCTGTCGCCTCGCAGCGGTACCCTCGATATTGACAGGTACATACAGTCTCGATATATATGGGAGATTGCAAGTGGAGGATAGATTCAGGACGACCCTTTATGGGATTCAAAGCCGAACGATGTCACATATTACTCCACAGTTCATGTCTTGTAGCTAGCTGGGTTGGGTTTTGGTACAAGTGTATGTTTTTATATAGTAGTTAGTATACTGTTATACACGCACCTTAATAAAAATTCTTGAATAAAATTAATATATAATAAAAATAAAATAATAATTTGTCAAATAATAATAAAAATATTTTCATGTATGATTATTATATATTTTTAAAAGTGAATCGCGTTTGAGTTTGGTTTTCTGTGGGATTCTCTAGAGTCATGTTTACCCGTCACGTGGACGAGATCGTGGTCGAGATGGCGAGTGCGGGGCAGTTGATGGCACTGGGTGATCAACGAGGGTTCCGAGTTCCTGCCAAGATATCGCTGCAGGATATGACCATTCGAGACATTTCGTCGGAAAACTATAGCGTACGAACGCTTCTGATATATATATATCATGTCCGAGATTGCCCTTTGAAATTCGGATATATATAGGTAGTGGACGTCTTGAACGACAACACCGTGATCGACACCATCCCCGGGAACCGCGTGTTTTTCCAAGTGTACCCCACCGCCGCCTATTTACACCAAGTCCGTGTCTACTATATATATATACATATATATAGTAGACAAATGTCAATCGAGATGAATATATATATATATATATAGTAGACAAATGTCAATCAAGATGAATATATATATATATATATATATTCATTTTGATGGACATTTTTCCTTATGATCGATCGATCATAGGGCCGAGAGTATTTGATCACAAGAGTCGACACAGCCGCCAAGATCGTCTTGGCCAAACAAAGCCCCAGTCGACTCAAGTACTACACATGCTGCCGAGACTTTACCGACATTGACATCTCCACGACGTTTCTCCCGTCGGTTGCGTACTCGTCGCATGTGCATTTGGGTATTGCGCATGCGACAACGTACGTCGTGGGGTGCTACTCGCTCGAGAAACGTACGCAGAAGATTTTGAACCGGACCGACTTTTCACTGCCGCCCATGGAAGCGGACGGTCATGCCGTGTGGATGGACATTCCGATTCATGTCGGAGGTCCTTCGAAGGGCTTGCGCGACCCCATCAGAGACGCGCTGCACGGTGTCAACCATTTGATACTGGCCGTGATCCCGCACTTTATGCTCGTGGACGGCAAAGATCTGGCCACGGAGCACGTGACCAAGCTCGAAACACGAGCGCGGTATGATCGATATATATATATATATATATATATATATTGTCCAATAAGCCAAAATTAGGACTTATGCACTGATTTGCCAAATCCATCGATCTTTTGTATGTAAAAAATGTCCACCAATGTGATGTCCATCACACGAATTTAACTCACACACTACTTAGCTGTTGATTGGTTGAACTGATGATTCCTGCAATCTGATTGGCTAATTCTTCTGTCCATTGTGTCGATACTTTCGGCACGTCACTCCAGGTTTAAATAAACACGACAATATATTGTCCTTTTACCCCAAATTTGGTTGACTTTTGGGCTAATTTTTCGCCAAATCTATCGATCGATTCTTTGTCCTGACGTTTGTATGCAAAGATCGTCCAGTATCACACTAATTGAAGACACATACTAATTCAGTGTTGAATTGGTCCAAGAGTGGATTTGATTGGCTACTTGATTCGTGATCTGGGTTTTGATTGGTCAATAGATTGTCTGCCGATTTGGTGCGCTCATTCGATGGAGCACCCCACTCTAATTTCGAATCGACAATACATATATATATATATATATAATATAATACATATACACTTGCATGGATGACGTTATCATGGGGGTAGCCCATCCCGCGTGATCGTGTACGAGACCTGTCAAGGCGGCGTAGGGATCGTCCAACGTGTGGCGACGCTGTTTCCCCAGGTAAGATATGACGTTGCTCCTTGGAATAAAAAATAATAATTAAATTTTATTTTTGAAAATTTGAAATGATAAAACAATTTAAAATTAAATTGCTACCTACTCCTTTGCCTTCGAACTGACGATATTTTTGGTTGATTGTCTTGGTAGATCGTCGCGTGTGCAAAGTCCATCGTCGACACGTGCGACTGTGTGGACGGCTGTCCTCGGTGCATCCACTCGCCCCATTGCTCTGAACTCAACTTGGCCGTGTCCAAGCCAGGCGCGATTGCCGTCTTGGCGTACATGGCTGGCCTCCTCTTGTGTCCTTGATAACAACAAACCCCATATCATTATATCATTTTTCTCTCTACCGTCGCTCTCGACGACTGCTTCGATCGGTGGTTCTCTGGTCGTCCCGGTGGTTCCTGCTGCCATGATGACCATCCGTTTTTCTCGACTGTTTGCGGTCACTTGACCGAGAGCGACGTCTCGAGTAGCGGGGTCGTCTGCGACAATGTCGTTTGTCGTCAGAATCATCGGAACTCGAACGCTGTCGACGTTTGCTGCGTGGGACTTGGTCGTGCGTTGCTGCTTGAACCTCGGGTTTTGCTTGTACTAGGGCACCAAAAGGGTAGTGTGGATTCGGAATACAAATGTCCAGAATCACGAATCTATCGACGCTATTGGCT